TGTTGTTTAATCTCCATGTGTTCATGTGGTGATTAGGGCTTCTTCCGCTGTTGATTGTAAGTTTTATTGCATTGTGGTCTGATAGAATGCATGGAATTATTTCAATCTTTTTGTATTTGTTGAGGTTTGTTTTGTGCCCCAGTATATGGTCAATTTTGGAGAAGGTTCCATGGGGTTCTGAGTATTTTTCATTTTTAAATTTCTGTGTGTGTGCTACATGTGTACAGGTGCCCCCAGAGGTCAGAAGAGGGCATTGGATCTCCTTCAAGCTGGCGTCATAGGTGGTTGTGAGCTACCTGACCTGAGGGCTGGGAAGTGAACTCAGGTCCACTGTAAAAGCAGTATACACTCTTAACTACTGAGTCATCTCTTCAGCACCCCCCCCCATTTAAATGTTTAAATAAGCAAACACTAGTGGGCAAATTCAGCGCTATTGCTTGTGTTTATAATCAAGTGGTTTAGTATTACTTTACTTGCAATTGGCCAAGGAGAAAATACAGGCAGAATTAACATGTAAATGATGCCCTGTACCAGGTAAAGTGCAAAGTGACATAATTTTGTAGTAATTAGCAGAAAATGGCAACTAAATTATCACACGAGCCAGTAGATCAAGCATGCAAAATTCAATAAATTCACACTGACAGCCTCAATTCAGTTCAGCAAAATAGCACTTATATTAAATTAAAATGTTTTCATTTATTTCATTTGTAGCTGTGAATTCATTTTTTTATACATAAATGCTTTGGTTTATGGTTATAGTGTAGTTATAAGCAAAGAGCTTCACATACAAGTTTATGTGTGAACACACAAGTAAAATAATAAGCAAACACTAAGAATCTGTGAACTTTTTTTGTCTTTTAAAATATGAACCAGGTATGATGGTACATGCTTATAAGCCTAGCACTCATGAGGCTAAGGAAGGTAGACAGAGAGCTAGAGACCTGCCTGGGCTATATAGTGAGCCCTGTCTCATAAAAATAAAAGTAATTTGTGCATTACTCATGACCTCACCCATGAAGCATGTTTTAAAGGGGATTCAAGAATTGATTGGCTCAACTCTAGGTATACAGACACATGTAGTACATGTATTTGGACATAATGCTTTTTGCACCTAAACAATACATTAGAACACAGGCCTCAAATTAATCCTTGGCTTTCACTCGCACATTCTTTTCAATGTGCTCTAAGCTTGTCAAGCACATCCCTCAGTCTAACCAAGGTCACAAAAATGCAAAGGCCTATGGATGCCAGACTAGTAATAAGTGAAGCTAGTCAGAGCATGAGAAAAAATTTTCTTGAAATCCTGAGTCTTCTTTATCTGTCTCTCTCTGTGTCTATTTTTTTTTTCCTCAGTGTAGTAGGAATGAAAGTTTGGAAAATATTTCACTTTCCCCTTAACTTCACTAAAAGAAAACATTAGCATAAATATGATAAATGGTCTTAGTGTGGTGGACTGTGAAAGGAAGTGGTATGGATTATATTATAGCAAAATAGGGCTCAGTCTCCATTTAAGGGGGCCCACTATACCCCAACCCCAGCCTGTGACTATAACATGAGATTAAGATGCCAGGTCTCTCGATTTTTAAATTTAAATTTGGGATTTATGTTAAAAAAACAAAAAACAAAACAAAACAAAAACCTCCCAATTTAAAACTCCTGGCAACAGATACAAAAAATGTTCCCAGACACTATGATAGCCAAAAAATAGTATGTCTGTGCCTCAGAGAGCAGGGAAACCCCCAGTTTACAATCGGCTCTCATGTCTCCTCTAAGCTGCCCACCCCCAGCATCTGCACAGCCTCCCCCATCCCAACAGGGCTCTTTCAAGGTCAGCACTCAGAATCCTCAAGGCTGCCCATTCAGTTGACCCTCTGCAGTCCTATGCAGACACTCCTCTCCATCCCCTGCAACCCTGCTCCAGTTACCTAGCCTTCCAGGTGTCTGCCGTGTCCGCCCCCGCCCCTTACTCTGGGACCCTCCTCGGTCACCAGCCAGGCTAGGCACCTTGTCAGTCTCAACATCGGAATAAACTGGACCTCATAAAGCACCTCCAAGGAGCCAAAGGTGGGAGGCCACAAGCTCGTCACGGAATCACCCCGTGGTACCAAGGCCCCATGCCACCCAAGGGGCCAGCCCTTGATTTACACGTGCGTGCACCAAGCTCTCCTGGGGGTAAGGTGTGGGGCCCTCGGGCTCCGCGGCCTTCCACGCAGACGGTGAAGAGCTCGCAGGCGGTGGGTGTCCAGAGCTAGGAACAGCCGCATTGCCCGGCCTCTGGGCTGCGTGGGATTTGCTCTCCGGGTCATCCTTGCGCTTAGGCCGCCTGGGCTCTGTCACCCGCCTCCTCCGGATCTGCCCCTTCCCAGCTTCAGGCACTGCAGGCCCGACGACCCTCCCACCTCCACCGCGACTGCCAGCCGCAACTGGTGTCTCAAGGCGGGCTAGCGCCGCGGCCGAGGCCGCTCCGGGCCCCTCCGCGCCGCGGCGGCCACACGACCTCGCCCCCGCCGCGCGCGCCTCCAGCACCACCCGCGCCCGCCCTGGCCCTTACCCGCGACAGGGTGAGGTCGGTCATGAGCTGCTCGAAGGCCCGCGTCTCCTCCGCCTGCCGCTGCGTGTGCAGTGCGATCTTCTCACTGAACTTCCGTGGGTTGGCGCTTCCCGAGCCCGGCGAGGCGGCCATGGCGCGCACCCCGCACTAGCGGGACCCAGGGACTGCAGGCACAAGGCCTGCGGCCCGGCCCACCCGTCGGTCCTTAGGCTGTCCAAGCCGACGCCCGAAGCCCGGCGTCCGGCGCGACCCGGCAGAGGAGCCGCTGCGGCCCCAGAGCCAGCGAACGACCGGGAGCGCGCCGAGGTCCACCCCCGCGCGCCGGCCCCGCCCTCGGCGCGGCGCGCGGGGCCTCCCAGCCGGGAGTCCGGCCTCCAGAGGCGAAGCTCCACTTCCCCGCCTCGCCCGGCCTCAGTCTCGCGCGGGCGGGTCCGAGGGCCGAGCCAACGGTCCCAAGCCTGTTTCTAGACCCGGCCGCTGCCTCAGCCGCACAGTTCCTGTCAGCAGAGCTAATCCCGGCGGATGTGTGGGAGGTGCTGGTACCACTCTGCAGACTCGCCTCAGCCGGGGGTTGGCCTTTGGGTGTGGGGACTTTTAGAACAGTCTTTCTGTACCCTGACCTCCTCCAGTGACCATGAACAGGAGTGTGAAGCCTTGGCGGCCTCACCTTGAGCGAGTCTATGGCACTTAATGGATGGGCCTGGGCTCAGCCTACCAGCTGCTTCCTCCTCCCCATCCCTGTTTATTTTCTGAGGCCACCGTCATAACCACCACTGAAACTACAGAAGCCTGGATCTCAATTTCTAAAGCTATCTCCTAATTTTGCACCAGCTAGAGACGGCCTGGACTAGGAACCAGACTCAGATTCTCTGCAAGAGCAGTTCACACTAATAACCCCTTTGCTGTCTCTCCAGACCTTTCATCTCCACCTTTCCAAACAGCCAGGTAGCTCAGCAGATTTCCTCCTTTTTCAGCCCCAAAGTTGCTCTCAGCGTAGATGTTGTGCACCAAAGGTTCTGGAGAGTCTTGAGTGTGTCTGTATTTTGTACATTAGAAAGTATTAGAGATGTGCAAAAAAGTACAGAAAATAACATTAATACACCCACACACATTATGATCAAGATTGAACCTATCAAAATATTTTTGCAGGGCCTAGGGATGGTGCTCAGCTGTACAGTGCTTGCCTGGCATACACACACTAGTCCCTAGGATGGATTCCAGCACTGCCTTCTGGGACTGGTGGGATGTCTTAGTGGGTAAAAGCAAGCCTGATGACATGAAATCCATGGTGAAAGGAGAAAACCGACTCCTGAAAGTTGTCCCCAGACCTCCACACAGGTGGTGGCAAGCATGTGCCTACACACGCACACACATACACACACACATCATACAACAACAAATAATATATATATATGTCTTTTTGAGATGGGGTCTCCCTCTAGCTCCAGCCTGCCTGGAACTTGCTATGGAGACCAGGCTGGACTTGGACTTAGAGATTTGCCTGTGTCTGCCTCCCAAGTGCTGGGATTAAAGGCGTGCACCACCACACCCGCCCAAAAATAAAGATTTTAAAAGACATTTTGCTTCATAAGCCTGGAACTTGCTATGTAGACCAGGCTGACCTTGAACTCACAGAGATCCATCTGCCTCTGCCTCCTGAGTGCTGGGATTAAAGGCATGCACCACCACACCCAGCTTTGTGTTTTAAATTTTTATAAAAATGAGGCTTGGGGGCTGGTGTGATAGCTCAGCGGTTAAGAGCACTGACTGCTCTTACAGAGGACCTGGGTTTGATTCCCAGTTCCCACATAACGGCTATGAACAGACCTTAACTCCAGTTCCAGGGGAATCAGAAGCCCTCTTCTGGCCTCCAAGGCATTGCACGGCACAGGTGCACTCACATAGATGCAGGCAATACACTTATACACATAAAATAAAAATAATAAAACATTTTTTAAAATGAGGCTGGGTATAGTGGCACATGCCTGTAATCCTTAGCACTTGGGATGTAGAGGCAAGAGGATGAAAAGTTCAAGGTTATTCTGCTACTCAGTAAATTTGAGGCCAGCCTGGATTACACAAGACCTTGTCTCAAGAACAAAAACAAAACCAGAAAATATTACAAAAATGACTATGTTGAATAATTTTTTGCAACTTTTTCTGATTTGTGTTGATTTATTCATTTTAGTACATTTAGAGTGTGTGTGTGTGTGTGTGTGTACAGACACATGCACATACACATAA